TCTTCCTCCTTCTAACAGAGTGGGCCATCTGTGTGCCATTTGTCAGTTTTGGGGCAGGAGGAAGAGTTCTTTGTTATTCTAAATAAGGCTTGGAGGTTTGGGTGTGATCTCTTTGTGGTGTGAGTGGCTTTTCTACTGCATACCTTGCTTGCGTGGATCAGTGGGACCGTCACCGGTTCATGCATTGGATATTCCCTGAGATTTTTTTAAAAAACTTTCTAGGCAGAGCAACAGTCTTATGTGGTACATTTAACTTGAAAAAAATCATAGTAAAACGAGGATGGTTGAGTGTTTGACTGAAGCGGTCTCACCCCAAAACTTTTTCCCTCTGTGTCCTGCCCTCATGCCTTGTCAATCAGCCCCCCTCTGCCTTGAGGCCATGAGCTTTCCTCCAGTGACGTCAAGGACTCATCCTCCTCCCTTTCCCCCAGTGACGCCTCTGCTCTTTCCAAGGCTTTATCTCTCTCACCCACACCCCACCTCAGTGTGGTGTGGGAAGGGAGGCAGCTAATTGTGCCCCTCCCCCCCGTTCGTCGCTGGTCACCTGGCCCCTCCTCCTTCATTCATCTCAGGCCAGCAAACGGTTCTAAGAACCAATAGTACATTTAGGAAGCGGTTCTATAGAATAGGTGCGAACCTGCTGAATCCCACCTCTGCTAACACTGTGGGTCTTTGAGGGGGGCTGGGGAGTATTTGGTTGGTTGGTTTTTAACTCAAAGCACTAACACTGTGGGTCTTTGAGGGGGGCTACATATGTAACATTTTAAAGTTCTATAGGCTATTTTTTTTTACTTAAAGTTCTATTGATGAACCTTATTTGCAATTGATGAATTGCAAACATGATTTTACAAAAATTATCTCATTTATTTATTTAAACATTTATCTGCTGCAAAGTAGGCATACTTCATATTGCCTCCAAATGACTGCCTGGCCTGTCTGTGCCTCTTTCTCCTGTTCTTTCAGTTTTCCTAGACACCATCCACTCCTGAATAGACCTAGTTTAATCTCAAACTATGTGCTCCCTACACAAACATATTCTTCATTATTTCTGGTGAAAGGAAGTTCACTGTTTTCTTTAGCATGGTGCTGTGCATCGT